TAAATAAATAAATAAATATTTTGTAGTCCTGAAGCCTTATATCTTATAAGTGTAGATACCAAGGATTCAGCCAGGGATTTTTTTTTTTCAGAGAAAGCATGAGATTTACTTCTCTCTTCTTTTCAGGCCATGACTACTCACCCCCAACTGATTTCTCCTTTTAGTTGAAGGAAAAAAATGATATTTTCAAAAGTACAACAATGATAAATAGCAAAAATAGCTCTTTGGAAACATACCACACCTACACATACCAAACTTTGATTCTTTTTTTACCATATAGGGATAGGAAGGAGTCTCTAACTCATACATGATAGACCAGCCTCCATGCCCCACTGTGCTTTAGTCTAATGTGTCCATCAGCCGCAGCCATAATTGCAAATGATGTGCGTTGTAGGCCAAACATCTTGAGGTTGCCAGGATGGAGAAGACTCCCATATGTATGCCGGGGAGCAAATGAATACTAATCTTCTTTCTTTCTTTCTTTTCTTTCTCCCTCCCCGCCTCTAGATTGACAAACTCCGTTGCCTTTGCTTCAGTGATGAGAATGAGCCTCAGTGCTGCATGATGGACAACTGGCGCCCTTGCCAGCCTCTGAAGAGCAGAGAAGTTAGAGCCTCCTTCCAATAAGCTGTGTCCCTTCAGCATTGTGTTGTGTTCTTGAGGGTTGAGTTTGTTTGTTCCTTTTTTCCGCTAAGCACAAATCAGACTAATGCCATATAAGCACTAGTGACATCTGTTTTTTTTACCCTAGTGCTCTCTTCTTCCTGTTGTTTCCTGAATTTCCTAAAAATGAAATGCAAAAGGCCATAAGCCAAGAGGAAAGCAGATTTATCATGGTGTGGTGTATATACAGTGCATGGCTGGGGAAGGAGGGAAGGGGAATGGAAACCTGGTGTGATGCTTGACAAGATTTTTTTTTGTGATTGTGGTGCTGAACACTGATGCTGGGATAGGATTATGTTCCTTCGGCAGAGACTGTCAAGGGACAGGGTGATAAGCGACAGACAAATAAGCCATTTTTGAAAAATGAAAAAAAAGAAAAGAAAATATGATGCTGTGTGTACTCAATAACTTGAATTTTTCATGGAAGCACAGGAATGCCATTTAATGTGGGCATTTTACATCTGATTTGGGATAATACCTGGTATCAACATAGGCATTAAAATGCAACTTTAGCACTGAAGATTAAATGTCTTAGGTTTTATGGAGTTTGAAGTGTAAATATTTTAATTGTTTTACAGTTTTAGCCATAAATCTGAAATCCAAGTCTTCATGTTAGAATATTTTTTAAAATTACAAAATGTCAACTGAGCTAAATTAAGTACATTATGTGTAAAAATTGTTGATACCATAGATATAATACAGAGTATCATTTAAAATGTCATAATTTAAATAAGAAATTAATATTGTATTTTTAGATACATTAATTAAAGAAAGATATATTTATGTTCATTTTTCTGGTGCCTTATTACGGTTTAAGACAACCAGAATAATCACCAACAAATTATTATGCATGGTATTTACCGCAAAGGAAAAATTATTTCAAGCAAGCATTCTTGAAATTTCTTTCATGCTGGGAAATAATGATAGCATAATAAGGACTGTTGGTCTTTAAGGTTCTACATTACCCTTTGTTGTTCTTATCTCAAACATTTGGTAAGAAAATTCTTTGACTATTTGCTTCAGTAGCCCAGCAAAAAAATTCCATGGGTTCCAGTCTGGTTCGGCCACTCATGGCAGCTTTCATTAAAGGCACAAAGTCAGCCCCTACTGCCCCTTCTCCTGCATTCTCAGGGAGTTGAGTTTCCTGCACTGACTTTACTAGGGTCACAAAAACTCCAGGTCTGGAGAAATGGGTGGGACGTATGAGTCCCCGTCTGAGGTGCATCCTTTTAGAGAGGGCTGGTAAAGGTGTGCAATGGGGACCAGGATTCACAGCACTGCTCTTCTTGGAGTCTCTTTTGCCATGCCTGTTGGCGCTTGTGTCTCCAACACTGAAGCTGGGTGTGGGTAGGTTCTGCGGGCCCCACTAGATGGCAAAGATACCAAGGCTGGGTTGATGCTGGGTCAGCTGTAGGCTGTGTTGCCAAAGCCTCAGGTCCCAAGCTCTTCCACAGCCAAACAGGCAGGGTGGGAGGAGGTGTCTCCCCTTGTCCCCTATTCCTGTTTTCACATTTGCAGAGGTGCAGCAGATGGTGTCCCAGTGCTCGACTGCCTCCTATCATGTCTCCCCTTTATGTGATGCTCTTGCCATCATACCATCTTTCAGCTGTCCCCCATCAGGTGGTGCTTCCTCCACCTATAGTGGTGCATTCGTGCCGGCGAGGGGTTCAGTAGATTCACTCTGTCCCAGGCTCCCCTTGGCTTGTGGAACGTGGCCAGATGACCTTCTAGAGGTGCTCACGGTGACCCCACACAGTATCAGGCAAGCCAGATGCTCACCATCTTTGTTCTTTGAACCCAAAAATATTAGGACTTAGACATATGAGTGGCCCAGCTTTAGTGACTTTCATATGGAAGTAATTTTCCTAATGAATAAATATTCATGATTAGGAGCCTCATGGCGCAGTGGTTAAACTGCTGTACTGCAGCCAAAACTGTGCTTACGACCTGGGGTTCAATCCCAGGTAGCAGCTCAAGGTTGACTCAGCCTTCTTTCGAGGTCGGTAAAATGAGTACCCAGCTTGCTGGGGGGGGCAATGTGTAGCCTGCATAATTAACTTATAAACCGCTCAGAGAGTGCTTGAAGCACTATAGGGTGGTATATAAGCAGCATGCTTTGTTTTTTTTGCTTTTGGTGGAGTTTGATCCTTTTTACATCTTATGATGGAGCTTGCATGTAAGGAATGTCTCTGTTTTCCTTGATATAACTTCTGTAGTTGAGTAAATCAACATGGTTGATTGAAGCAGAGTTGAGGAACCTAAAGCGGGGAGGGAAGGCTTCTGTTGCTTGTTCGTTTTCTAATGCAAGTCTTGTCAGAACGAAAACAAAAATAAGCACTGACACTAGTAAAACAATATAAACTGAAGAGAAGAGCAACAGGGTGCCAAAAGATAAATGCATGCAAGAAATATTTTTTCAAAGACATCCAAAGCAGGAAATCATCAGGGAGGCAGATTCCATTCAACAGCAAACCAAGTTAAAAGGATAAATGAAGGAGGATGAGGTTACTGCAGAACAGCTGATGGCTTAGTATTGTTCGCCTCTAGTGGAAAATACTGGACAGATCTAAGCCTGAATATGGGAGGTGGCAGGGTGGGCATGTGGCTCACTATTCAAAGGGCTGGAGTTTGGCTAATGGGAAGCCCAAGTCAAAAGGATGGGATTGAAAATACCAGCATAGTTTACTTAAAGCTTGGCATTCCAACCTTTTAAAATGAGGGGGACAAACCTTTAGAAAAACTAGGAATTCCCCAAATGATGGTGCCTTGAGAAGGGGTGTGTGATCACCGGTGGAACCCCAGTAAGAAAGTCTGGGACTCCAGGAGGGCCAGATTGTGTCCCAGCACCTGAGGTTGCACAAAACTAGACAATAATAACAGAGTTTGGCTGCAATAGTATATTGAACAAACCATGGGTGCTTCCAGCTTTCAGAGGCTTTTATTGTAAAATCACTCCACCTTATTCATGGAATTTTATGAGTGAGCAAACATTGTGGTCTTCCAGACATAACACTCTAGGGTCTTCTAGCTGCTGCGATTTCCATCTCTTCCCCATTCTGAAAGCAATCTGTCAAGGAAGGAAAGAAGGAATTGCAGATGGTCTTTCAGATTTTCTCGTAAAACTCATTCAGCTCCAGACATTAGGGTACAAAATAGAATTGATGACTTTTCCATTTAACTGTTAGTTTTCTAAGTGCTGGACCCAAGATTTGTCTTCCATTGATGGAAGGGCTTCATGTGCTGAAGATGCCCCTGACTGATTTGCTAGTTGTTCATGACCAAACCATAGTCCAGCATCTTCAGCAAGGTCCTCCAACCCTCTACGCAGAATGTCTGGAAAGGTTGCTGTGGGGTGGAAGGGATAAGGATGTCCTCTTTCATTAGCTCACACACACATCACGGGATCCAACCCCAAATAAAGGGCTACAAACATTAGGCCTGGTATCTAAAGCTCTCAGTCCAAATACTCTTTCTTACGGTAGCAGGTCAGGAACACCTATATATCTCCAGTTGGCTGCATGTGATCTCTTTTTCCCCATCAGTTGAGTAACTTTGGTGCACAGGGAACCACATCTGGAATGCCCCACTAAGATGTTTTTTTCCTGTTCCAGTGTTCTCCCTGAAATATCACATGTCATGTTTGCTTCACTTTCTTCACCTTGCATCATACTCCTCATGCTTCTATGTGCAAACCTGGCTCCCAGCGCCCAAATCCCCTGCTTTCTTCCCCCTATTCTGCTCTTTCTCTGCTACGTGGCACCTCTCTCTCCTTAAGGCACAGTAGCTAGACTACCCTTTATTTGTACACTGCAATACTGCAGCTCCTCCCGCTCTCCCTGCAAAGCACTAATACGACAAACCATCAGATTGGAATGTTTGCACCGTGGATATAACTGCATATGGGAAACAGCATAACACAAAACTCTTGTTTTATATACAGCTCATGAACAAAGTGATACATAAAACAAAACCTGGGTATAGAGCAAGTTAAGAGGAATGTGCTTTGCGTAAACTCACTCCTTAAGGCAGAACAAATGTTGCATCTGATATTCTATAGAGTTAATAGAAGTCCTGATTATTATTCTGCAAAACAGTTTTTTTTTGATGGCAAAAACATTGCTGCTTTCGAGAAGTAAGCATCCAGATTCTGTAGCAACACAAACAATTCCCTCACTTTATGGATACAAAGGCTGGGCCAGGTGAAAGAGCATGTTATTATATATTATAATATGCCTGTTCAATAATTCTTAATAATGGCGCAGACAGATCACAAGCAATTAAACACCAAGGTAACCTTTGTGATATAAAAATGGAGAATAGATTGGTAACTAATTTATTACAGGAAGCCACTGATTACACACAGAATGGAAGGAGCAAAAGTAGATAAGAACAGCCTGGGTTGAACATAGAGCCGTGACCCATGCACTGAGAAAAAAGAACCTCCAAATGGTTGTTTTCAGGTTGTTTGGCCATGTTCTGGAGGTTTTTCTTCCTAATGTTTTGCCAGTCTCTGTGGCTGGCACAGAGTTCCTACTCCAGTCCTCTGAAGATGCCGGCCACAGAGACTGATGAAACGTCAGGAAGAACAACCTTCAGAACAACCTTCAGCCGCCCGAAAAACCCTACAACAACCATCGGATCCTGGCCATGAAAGCCTTCGAGAATACATTGAACCTGCAAATCCTGCTTTCACTACAAAAATAGCCTAGATCAACTGTCCCCAATCTGTTCCCTTGTGGATCTGTTTCACTACAACTCACATCATCCCCAGCCAACATGATGAGAAATCTAGCCCAACCCACTGTACAAATGAAAAGTATGCGAAATGCCTTCGTATATGTAGACATGACATCCCTAGACTTTCTCAGTGAGTTTCAGGTAGACATTTCCAGAAATAAACATCCCACAGGGGAGAAAAAAGACAATTATTAAGCTGCAGTCATTTTTTTACACTGCTTCAACAAATACATTCTGTCACTCTGTAAGCCAGAGCTTGACCTTGACCTGTTTACTTTTCCAGATTGCTTGTTCCAGAATCCCCCCAGCTAGGATGGCTATGTTGGCTGGGGATGGGGGGTGTTTCTGGAATTCGTAGTCCAAAAAATTAATTTATTCAAGTTCTGCTGAAAACTGTCTCATTACTGTTGCAGAGTTTTAAATTTCTGGTAAAATTTCTTTTTGCTGTATAGTAAAAGTATAGAAATCCACAGAAGACAATACGTAAAAGCTCCCCATAATTCACCACTTTTTCATTAACTGGCATTTAAAATCTCAATAACTCACTCTGAGACGCTTGTAGGAGAAAGAATATAAGCATTTTTAAACTTATATTTGCTTGAAATTACAAATTTGTGTCTGCTGATTTCTTTCTGCA